AAGGAAAGATTAGAAAGGACTAGTGAACAGTTCGCTTCTCTGCTGGCTAGGGTTTCAGGTGTGTGTGGGGGAAGGGGGGGGTGATGTGATTTAGACCATTGAAAACAGCAGGGTTTGACTTGCCAGCCCGAGGAAAGCGGAACGTGATAGGGAGTGTAACGGTGTGTGCGGGGGGGGGGGGGGGGGGGGGGGGGGGGGGGGGGGGGGGGGGGGGGGGGGGGGGGGGTGCGGGGGTGTGTGCGGGCGTGCATTGTGTGTGTGAGTCTCATGTTCTTCCTCACAGAAAACCCCTTTCTCTTTCCAGGTGTCCCTGAAGATTGAAGAAAAAGAACTAGAGCATGTCCTGAAAGGCCAAGCTTTCGTTGGTAACATCCTCGCCGCGGGACTGCCCTGAGTGCCCGTCTTACCCACCTGCAGCTGGCGGCCCTTGGCCGACGGGGGAGTCTTCGTTAGGAGGGCCATTTGGAAACTGTTGTGGCCTTTTGTACTCAGCACCGGTACATTTTAGTGTGTTAATTCATGAGTGTTAGCACTAATATCTTTGGCTCTTACTGTTTTGACCCATGAAAATGACCGAGTAGTTAGGTATGGTGGCACATGCCTGTGATCCCAGCATGTGGGAGACAGAGGCGCAAGCATCAGGAGTTCAAGGCCATCCTTTGCTACGTGGTGAGATTGAAGCTGGCCTGGACTACGTAAGACACCTTAAAAATGAAGCCAGTGACCCCTTTAAAAGTGATATTCAGTACCTTTCCCATACCTGCAAGTATATGCAGATATGCCGACCTGTGTTGAAGGGTTTGTATATATTCACTTCTAAATACAAACAGTATATTTTGTAAAGAACTTTGATGTTTAAAAGTGGAATGGAATGATCCAGAAAACTACACGAGCCTACGTGGAAATCTGAAGGACATTTTGGTCAAAGGACTCGTTGGCGTCTCGGGACAGGTGCTGCTGCATTGGACTTCTTAAGGACTCGGGGGGGGGGTTCTCCCATGTGCCCACGCAATATGGGGGAGGAGAGTGTAACTACAGATTGTGAATATATTTATTTTATTTTCATGTTTTATTTGTCAGGCTGCATGTGTTGTCTTTTTTTTATACCCACCCTGTGCAGGCGCAGGGGTATGACAGTGTTCATGTTGGGGACAACTGCAGGAATCCTTGCTTGCTTTCCACCTGGTGAATCCCAGGGACTAAACTCAGGCCACCAAACATGGCGGTGGGCGCCTTTACCTTTTGAGCCGCGTCCTGAGCCTCTATTTGTTGCCTCAGTCCACGAGAGCTTCAGCTTTCAGAGGTTAATATGAAAATACCTTCTCGATGGGTGCTGGTGGCACACTCCTTTAAACCCAACACTCGGGAGGCAGAGGCAGGTAGATCTCTAAGTTCAAGGCCAGCCTGGACAACAGTGAGTTCCGGGACAGCCACAGCTACAGAACAAAACACCATCTCGGACAAACAAACAGGACGATGCCTTCCCTTCCAGTCTCCCCGCAGACGCAGCCATTGTTTCGGCATGCCTCGGGTCAGGCTTGGGTTTTCGGCAGAACACATTCCCAGCCTCTTGAGATAAGTTTATCCATATGGTTACTGAGACTTCTGGGTTTGATTTCCAGTGGCTTTAAGTGGCACTTTGTGACAGGGACACCAGAGGGCACCATTATACCACTGCTTTGAAAGTGTGGGGTGGGGTGTGGGTAGTTTGGAGGGAAGGGGCAGGCGTTTGACTTGTTTGGGGAAATTGCTATTCCTATATTACCTGAGCGAGTGGTTGGCCACGGACCACGTGATAGGAATAGTCTCTGAGCTGAGTGAGGCTGCTGCCTCCTTGTCTGATCTGGCCTTGAGTTTGGGAATTTGATCTGCCTACAGAGGATCTGTTGGCCACAGTTTCATTCATTCTGCCCACCGTCTCCTTGTAAAGTGATCTGCCCCGCAGCAGGTGGGATGGGATGGAGAGAGAAGGGCAGCGAGCTCTCTGAAATGCATACTGCCCGCTGGTGTGTGCAGCACACCGGCAGAGTCTGGAGGTGGGAGTTTGAATGTCTCGCACACTGCTTCACCGGAGTCTTCCTCCCCTCCAGGGCAGTGTGCAAAGTGGTGAGGACGCTTCTCTACCAAGAAGTTTGGAGGCTGCCTGGGACTATAAGGGTTAACGGGCGTAACTGTAAAGATTGTCCGGAGACTGATGGAAAGCAGAGCCTGAATGGGATTGGGAACAGATGTGAGGCTTGATTTAAATTACATTTTATTGGATGCTGCAGCCTTAAGAGACGTGACTGCTTTACAGTTTGTTTCCACACTGTGGGCAGCTGCTGTCTGTTCTGTGTCCACAGTAGGATCCTGCCCAAAGAGGAGCGGCCTCCCCACCTCGTTGTATTTGAGGCTTGGCGCCTTCCTCTAACTGTAGGGGCTTGAGTCAGGAACATGGCTGGACTCTCAGCGGGGCTGTGCTGTATCCTCCCTGGCTTCTAGCCAAGCTCGCATTTCCAGACTCAAAGGGGCCAAGTTCCTTCCCCTCTACCTCTTCTTTCTCTCGTGCCCCCCTCCCCTTTGGAAATAGGGCTTTCTGGGTACTGTTGTTAGCTTCCTTCAGCGCCGCCCCCCCCCCCACTGTCAATTTCTAGGTCATTGCCACTCTTAAGACCTCAGCAGTTGGAACGGGGTTGCTTCTGCCAATGATGCGTGAAGCAGGCTAGAGTCCCTGCTTGGCTTCCGCTGCCCTTGTGGGAGCAGAGGCTGATGTATGTTTGTCAGTGAAGTCTTAAGTGTAATTCAGATGGCCGGGCAGAGAGGAAGAGAGTCCTTTCCTTGCTGGGTTTTCTCACTGAGGCTGAGAACTATGGGAAGGTGGTGGGAGTTTTAAGTAGGATGGGACGGGCCTGTGGTTACGAGGTTTTGCCAGGATCTTAGGCCACTCCACACGGAGTAGTGGCAAAGATGCTGACCTACATTTTTCCTTTTGAAGATGGTGGGGTGTGTGTCTCTATCCCGGTCCGTCTTTTTTTTTTTTTTTTTTAAAGAACCAGATTAAGCTTCCATAGTGTTGGGTATTGTCATGGAAAGAACATAGACCCAATAAAGTTGGTATGAATTTCAACCCCAAACTGCCACTGACATTTCTGGCTCAATGAAGACTTGCCTGTGGCTAGCTAACTGCAAGAGTGTGTGAGGTCCAGGCTAGCTACCCAGAAATCAGAAACCTTGGCAGCGCCTTTTCCTCCCCTCCCTTCCCATCGCTCCTTGCCCCCACCCCCAGTCTAGAAACTTTACCACTGAACTACTTCCCAGTTCTCCCTGCTTTTTTATTAAGCACCCTCTAAAGACAAGCTATAAGCTAGACCGGGTGGTACAGGCCTGCGATCCCAGTTAAGCAGGAGGATCACACGTTCAAGGCTTGCCTGGACTACAGAGTGAGTTCAAGGCCGACCTAGAGAAGTCAATAAAACTATCTGAGGCAGGGCGATGGTGGCGCACGCCTTTAATCCCAGCACTCGGGAGGCAGAGGCAGGTGGATCACTGAGTTCCAGACCAACCTGATCTACAGAGCTAGTTCCAGGACAGGCTCCAAAGCCACAGAGAAACCCTGTCTCGAAAAACCAAAACAAAAAACAAAAAAAACAAAAAAAAAACTGAGAATAAAGTAAAAGAGGGCTAGCTCAGAGAGCGCTGGCATGAACAACACCCTGAGTTCAGTCCTCAGTGCAGGGGTGAGGGGGCGGTAGGAAAGACAATAAGGACTAATGAACCATTTTTGTAAAAAAAAAAAAAAAAAAAAATGACTAGAGCCCAGGAGTGGGAGGTAGCTCGGTGAGCAGCGTGCTTACTGTGCAAGCATGAGGCCCCAAGATCAATCTCCAGGACACCCCAACATGCATCCATACACTGGTATTCCAGCCCTGCAGAGACGGAGACCGGCTGGGGCTGACTGGCGCTGGCGATGACTGGCGAAGTAACAGCCACCACTGTAGTGAAAAAACAAATCTGGCAGCTCCGAGGAAAGACACCTACAACTGACCTTTGGCCTACACACGCACAAAAATATCTTGCCCATAGGAGAGGTTGGTGGGGGAGCCAAAGTGACTTTTTCTTGTTGTTTGTGGTGTAGGAGATTGAGCCCAGAGAGAGATTTTATTTACATTTGTATCAGTCTCCAGCCCTAACTCTGGTAGCTATTCATTAACTCCTATCCAGTGAACAATACAAGAAGATACTGCCTTTTCGCCTAGTCTAGAACAGTTCTCAGCTGGAGGTGAAGCTGGCGCTGAGGTCTCAGGTGCAAAAGGCCTCTTGCCGGGCCTAGGGCGTCTTTGACCAGACCTCAGCCCTTCAGGTAGACGTCGTAGTAATTGGCCGCTGGCAATCTCTGCCGCTTCAGGGTGGCTACGGGTTGGAGACTTGCCTACAGGCTAGAAAGAGGTGTTTCAGTCCAGAAGTTACCTAAGGTCCCCAGAGGTCGCCCAGGAAACTGTCTCTAGTTGGTAAGGGACTGGGGAAGAACCCACCATTGGTGTCCTACTTCTAGCTTAGTGGGGGACGTTATCTCGGCTTCCTCCTGACGGCGCCCCCTTCACGAGGAAGGAGCACAGGGCGGAGTGTGCCCTCGCTCCCTTATTCCAACTTCACCAGTCCAGATACAGCCGGTAGAAGCTAATTGGGTGCAAGGAGCCTGGTAAAGGCGGAAGACTGGCCGAAGGAGAGCCGGCTCCCGTGTTGCTTCCTTTTTTTTTTTTTTTTTTTTTAATTTCTAATTGAGTTCTGAATCAGCCTCCTTCGCTTTGATCCCTCCTCTGTTTCCCACACTGCCTGAAAGAGCTACATCAGCACTTTGTAACAAGGGTGCGCCTGCTCCCCACACCCCCCTCCCCGACGCGCGCTCTCTCTCTCCTCTCTCTCTCTGCCGCCATCCACTGCCTGTCTCCTTCAGTTAAGATAATGAAGATGCTGAGAGATAAAATGTGTATTTAATAAGGGTGGGGGCAGGGAGGCGGAAAGGGGCAGCCAGGGCCTTCCCTAGTTTTGGGGCCTCGCCAAGACTCTAGCTGAGAAGCAAAGCTAGAGTAAGACTTGGCTTCAGGGTGTGGGGGTTTCTGGGCCCCAGTCCAGCTGACTTCACGGCTTGCTGTTTGCCCTAAATTCCCCCACCTCCACCCTCTCACCCCCACACTCCTTTCCTCTCTGCTTGCTCCCAGTGGGAAAAAAAAAAAAGGAGTCTCGCTCGACTTTTCTTTTCAGCTGGTTAGCTTGGCCCTTGCTGCGGTGCCCCCCACCCCAGTGTCAGCTGCAAGGTCAGGCTAGGGCAGCCCCCTGTAGCCTAGGCCTGTAGAAGCTGTGGGTTCACAGTGGGGGGCGAAAAAGCTGGAGTTAATGAAGGCCAGCTGCCCGGCTGGGTTCTGCCTACAGCTAGCTAGCTGGAGGCCAGGCTTCGGTGGTGGTTAGGTGGAGGGGGAGGGTGACCTCCATTCCTGGGTACAAGGATATCCTGTGGCAGCTGGGCCTGGGCTTCTCCGGGAGCCTGGTTTCATCCTCAGCGACTTGGGAGTCGTCTGCTCCCCTCTTGCCCTGTTCCTCCCCTCCCCAAATAACCCTCTGCTCTTCCGAGGGTTCTAACTGTAGTGGTGGCCCAGCTGAGATCTGAGGATCTCCAAGCCCTTTGGTAAACACTCATTAAGAGCCTGGGAAGAATCCGGAGTCCTGGTTAACAGCTGGAAGAGCACTGAGGCACGTTAGGGTGAGCGGCTTGACCTGAGCTCACCCCATAGACTCCACCCTGGGGCTTCCATCCTCGCTGTCTGGCTCCTTCCAGTTCTTCCTGCAAGACTGAGGTTGGAGGCGCTGCTATTGCCCTCTGCCCTTCTAGGAAGAGGCCAGGGCTCTCTCCCTTCCCTCAAGATGCCTGGTCTTCTCCTGGCCCTTCACCCCATGACATCCCCTTCCTCCCGCCACGCCTCTGCTGTTGGAAACAGTACCCCGGCAACACTCCTTGCAAAATGTTCTCAGTCCAGCACCCTACAGACGCCTGCCTTGGCCACCTCTCGCTGGCTGGCCCACCTGGCCCACCATGCCCACCAGTTTTTCTTTCAGGGTGGCCAAAGAAGGAGCAACTTTTGAGAAACCTGGTTGTCCCAATACAACAGAGTCAATGACCTTGAAGTTGATCTAAGGTCCTAGGAGAGGCTCCCGCCCCGGAGTATAAAAGGGAAAGCCCTTGAAGGTGTTCTTTATGGTAATAAAGACTCAAGGCCCTGTTGAGGGTTGAGCGAGGACGCTGGTAGACTTCTAGGTTTTGTGTCTTACGCATCCCCTGCTGATTGCCATCTCTGGTACTGGATGCATCAAAAGACGGCCCCTCCTGTCCTGTCCCACCTGCTCCGACTCTCCTGTCCATGTGTGAGCACCACAGCCTCCCTAGTACACCGTAGCAGGCACTGTAGTCCAACAGGAACCCACCATCTCCTCTCCAGGTACCACTGAGACGTCGGCACTCTTGCTGAAGACTAAGGTTTTCTGCTAGGAGGGTCTCTGGCACACTTGGGGATAAGACAACGGAATGACTACACCAACACAGCCTGAAAAAGAGGATAGAAGCGGGTGTCTATCTGTCCGTCTAAAAGGACAGACACCCCCCCACATTCCCATAGCTGATAGCTAAATAGCCCCATGAGAGATTAAGGTCCTCAACCCCATCCCCAGGGCCCAAGGGCAAGTCCACAGGCCCAGGAGAGGAAGAAAGAAATGTCTGTGGTGTGGTGTGTGTTGAGATCCGATACTGTCCTGGCCCCACCCATGGTTCAGACCCCCCATCTTTCTTCCAGTGGGTTAGTTTTCCTCCATCAGTCCTTAGTGCTGCACCCTTTCACCAAGTGGGGGCGGGTAGTAAGAGGGCAGGGAGAGCCTACAAGCTGGAGAGTGGGCTTTAGGACCCAACGGGAACCGTGCCTCTTGCAGCAGCCTAACCCAGAAGCAGGGGGGAATCCTGAATCGAGCTGAGAGGGCTTCCCCGGTTCTCCTGGGAACCCCATCGCCCCCCTGCCGGCACACACCTGAGCAGGTAGGATCATGCACACACCCCCTCCCAATTCTCCCCGGACCTCCTTTCGGGGGAGTCTCCCTGCTCCTGATCGGGCCGCTTCCCTCTTCGCCAGTTCAGGCTTTCCCCACGCCTCCTCCCCCATTGCTCACTGTAGTCCAGGGAGGTGGGAGCCTGGGAACCCTGGGGCGTTGGAAAGCTCTGAGTCCCAGACCCCCGGAGCTCACCCCTTGCAATTCGCACCCCCCCCCAGGCATTCTCCTTTCTCTAGCTAAGAATGGAAAGTGGGGGAAGGTCTGCCCAGGCCCCACGCCCTTGCACCCTCCTTTGCAGTATTGCTTCAACCCCCCCCACCTCCCACCTCACCTAGACCGGAGAATGGGAAGTGATGGCTTGGCAGAAAAAGTGGAGAGGGGCGTGAAAGGGACCCCACTCTCCCGGAGGGATTGCTCCCTCGCTTTTCGTCTTCGTGGCTTCCCAGCCTGGAGCTCAGGACTTTGCCTCCACTCCCACTCACGATGTCGGGAGCACAGGTCTCCTTCCCGGTGCAGGACACACTTGGGTGCCCACAGGCTTTGTAGAAGGATGGTGAGCTTTCCTGACCTTGTTCTCTAGGGGAAGTCCTTCCAGCCTAGAACTCTCCTTCCTGCCAACACCTCAGCACCTAGTGCAGAAGCCCCCTCCCTCGAGTGCCTGCTGTGTGGAGGCCATGTGGTTGGAAGACCTATACATTTTGGATAAAGGTTCCCCGTATGCATCCAAGGAGAGAGATCCCAGCCAGGCCCAAGCCAGATCGGGCTCAGTCCAGATGGCTGGGGAAGGGGGTGTGGACCAGATCTGGAAGGCCTATCAGCCATGCCAGCTCCCTGCATGCCTTGGCTTACAGAGCCCCAGGCTCCTGGTGTTACTCTAGAGCTGGGAGGTCCCCAAGCTTCTGCCCTCCTGCAGGCTCTCTGGGAAGAAGTTGGATGGTACCTGTCTTTTACACTGGCTGGTTTTCCTCTCCTGTTTACTGGAGGTCGGAGGCATCTCATGATGGTTGGTGGGCTTATACGAAGGGCCGGGTGTCTAGTAGCCACGTGTGTATCTTGCCTGGTGGGGGGTAGCTGAATGGGGGTGGGGGTGATAGAAAAGGCCCAGACCCATCACAGAGTGCTTTTCAGAATGCCGTGAGGGTAGGTGACATGCACCTTTCTGGAAACTAGCTGTGTGCTCTATATCCCCCCCCCCCCACACGTTTCCAGGGTCCCCTTGATGGCTGGCTTTGGAGGACAGGGTCTATAATGGAATGGATTCCAAACTCAGTTCTGCTCCTGATACAGAACGGGAAAGTGGGGATCCCGGGTGTGAACAGCAGACTGGGAGTCAAAGGCTTGAACTGGAGACTCTTAACCATTTGCATGTATGGTCTTCCTTCCAGCTAAACCGCAGTTTCTTTGTTTGTAAACAAAACTTCTGTCCATAGCTGGCTAGGCTTACCTGATGCTGACCCTTCTGTGAAAGGCCCAGGAGATAGTGACCAACACCCCCTCCCCCCTGTAAACTCTAGTTAGGACTGCAGAGTTCTAGGATAGGAAGCCTCCTTAAATCTGGGTCAGTCTCTCTGCCTTCAGTTTCCTTCCACCACTGTCCAGGGGACAGAGGAGCCCATTGCCTGAGGATGCAGAACTTCCTGAGAGCCAGTGTCTCGCCCTGTCGCCAGGGTGCTTGCCAGACAGCACGGATCTATCTTTGCACCAGGCTCTTTTTTTTCCCCCCAGAGGCCACACAGCTTAGTCCGGGATCCTCTTCTCCACCTTCCTTTCCCCATCCCCGTCTGTGTCCTTGTCTGTCTCTTCCCTGCCCAGTGGCCTCCTTGTCCAGCTCACTGGGCAGGAGCCCTAATCGGATTGGACAGCTGAGGTATGTGTGGTGACTGAAAGCAGGCAAGCAGGCAGGTGGAGGGAAGCCCCTGGCATGCCCTGGCTCCCGAGAGAGGAGAGAGAGAGAACACCACCTTGGGCTAGCTGACTCCTGGCTTGATCCCAGGGAAGGGGAGCCAGAGGAAGCCGGGGAAGAACAGCTAGAACAGCTAGGGACTAGGGCCTGGAGGTCGGGAGTGGATCCCACACCTGAGGCCTTAAAATGCAGGCACCTGGGGCTGCAGATGGGAGCTAGACTGTCCCCCCATTCCCATGGCTTCACCTTCTTCTCTCTTCCTTCCTGTTCATAGTAGGAAGGGCTGCTCCAATCTAGCCCTTCTTACTGGAACCTTCCTTCCTATGGGTCATATCTGGGGTGTGTGTGTGTGTGTGTGTGTGTGTGTGTGTGTGTACGTGCGTGTGTGTGCACATGCACGCCTTTTGAGCCTGTTTCCTTTCCTCTCCTCAGAGGTATCTTTCTCATTCACTCTCTGGGCTGGAGGCCAGGACTTCTGGGTTTCCCACTTGCCTCACAGAACAGGGCTACCTTGCTGGCCTCCAGAGACTATCTAAACTGGTTTCCTGTCTCCCATATGGGGAGGGCCTTCCCTTAGAGCTGGGAGGTGCCAGAAATCCCAAATGGGATGGGTAGCAAGGTACCATAGCCTGTGGTACCCCTGAGAGCAAGCTTTTCCCTCATGACCTCCAGTTCAGCTTCGGACAGTGTATGCCCAGCTTGGTGGACATAGCGTGGTCTTAGCTTCAGGCTTTTTGCTCTACCTGTGGGTATCCAAGATCTTCTGCTGCCCTTTTGTCTGTGGTATGGGGGTGCCTACTGAAACACCTATATCTAAACCATGTATATTTTGGGGAGCAAAAGGCTAGCATCATTGGGGCTGGGGTACTAGTTTGTCCTCCCTCCAGTTGGGCTTGGAGAAAGGAAACACAGAAACTTTACCAATGCTAATTCCCTCTGCCCTCAAAAGAGCAGTGGGTAGAGCCAAGCCTTCCCCTCTCAGTGCCCACAATGTGGTTGGCATTGATTTGTCAGAAATTGGGAAGGGTTCCCTCTAGACCAATTGCATCCTTTCTTCTCCCACAGTGCCGGGGCAACTCTGTGATTGTAGGCACTTATGAGCAGCCTCCCCCCCTCCACTCCAGGGAGGAGTGCGGGATGACCCAGAGATGGCCAAGTTGGCACCAGCCCCGGGCCAGAGTGCTGGACACTGTTCTTAGTTGAGAGTTGGTGGGTGAGGGCAGGGCACGGGCCTCCCTGCCCCCCTCATTTCCTGCTCTTTGGGCAGCTGTGGGCGAGAAAGGCTGTGGGGACTATTTTTAGTTGGTCTGTCCCCTGGCAGGAGGGACGTGCAGAAAAGCACGGGGCAGGCAGAGGGGCTGGCCAAGGTGAGGGTAAGAAGGCAGGCATAGGCGTGAGGAAGGGCCTGGGGTAGCAGAAAGAACAAGGAAGTATGCTGGCCAGGGGAGCAACCTTGCAAAGAGGGGCTCGGCTCAGATCAGACCAACAGAGGAGCTCTGGGGACCCCTCACGTTTCTCTGTCCAATTTCCCTCAGCTCTGAAAGGGGCTTTTGAGGCTCAGATAAGCCCCTTCCCCTTACAGAGGGGAACCAGATCAGGATATGCTTTGCCCTAGGACTCCCTGCCAGTCACTAGCTATGCTAGTGGCTTGCACCGTTCTTCTGCTTCTGCTTCCCTTCCCGGTTTGCAGCAAGGAGAACCTCAGGTCAGGGACAGCGGGGAGGGCTGTTTCCCTCCCTGCTGAATTGTGCAGGGTCTCTGTAAAACCCAGCTTGGTTTGTTTATATGTCCACCATGTGGAAAGAGTCTGTGTCCAGGCTGGAAGGAGGTTGGGGCTGGGGTTTGTTTGGGTGGCCTGTGGCTACTGGTGTGAATGGAGGCACTGGCCAGCGTCCAGCACATTCCCAGGCTGGCAAACTCTGGGGCTTGGAGCCACCTTTTGGAAGGGACATCCCGCCCAGCTGTTTCGTTTTAGAGACTTAGAGAGGCCCAGGGATTTGTCCACAGTTGCAGGATGACTTGGGAACAGATGGAGGACAAGAATACGGATCTTCAGACCCTTCGGAACCCTTTGTGAGCCCGTTCCTGCCGTGCCCAGGACCCGTGCCATTGCCACCAGCCCAGAAAGGGAACAGAGCCCTCAGCAGATGTCCTCTGGCCTAGGAGCCAAGGACTGGGATGGGGAGACAGTTCCGTAGGGTGTCGCTGTCTCTTGGGAGTCTGTCGGCATTCTGGCTCCTTAAGGGATCCATGGTGTGTAGGTGCCGAGAAAGCCATTCTTTAGTTTGTGAGGTGAGTGACGCCCCCTAGAGTTGTTCCAGAACTACCGGTGTTGCCAGCTGGAGGGCATTGTGGCCATCTAACACCTACTTTCTGACCCTACCTCCTGCCACTCAGCCTCTGCTGGTTTCTGGGTTTCTGGCTTGCCACCTCCTCACCCCGCAGCTCCGCTCCTAGTGGGTCTTATGGTCAGGAGCCCCTCCCCCCTCTCCACTTAAGTCTCCCTGTCTCTGGGGTCCTGATTTATCACGCCCCCCATCAAGCCTGCTGCAGCGTGTGAGAAATCAATAGCGCAAATGGATTGAGGCCGTTCAGCGGGTCGACTCCCTTTGGGCCCCTCCAACTCCCCCGGGACCCTGTAAGTCATTCTGTCCCTTTCTGGCTTAACATGGGCATAGACACACCTAGTGTACAGTTGTAGCCCCAATACTGGGCACAGGCACGCCGTCTCCATCTCTCTCATGTTCTCCCGCTCACATATACCGGGCTGGTCTTAGCTTGACAAATCCACCCGAACACTTATTTCCTAGTTTGGGTGGAGTGGGGTGGAGGGGCTCAAAGGGCAGCGGGCTGCCAGCCAGAGGTAGGGCGGGAGGCAGGTGGGTGAGGGAGACTGGGGAAGGAGCTAGAGAAGGGATCGGGTGACAGCCCACCCCATTGGCTTTGGTAACTTAATCCCTGGCCCCACCCTCATGATTTCCCTCCTGCTCAACAACTTCAGCAGCTGCTGGCAGGAGTGTGTGTGTGTGTGTGTGTGTGTGTGTGTGTGTGTGTGTGAGTGATGTGGGGGTAGGGAGGGTGAGAGGGGCTGTGGGGGCAGGGGTGCTGCCAGGACATGTTTAAAGGAGACTCATAGCCTGGGTACAACTTGGGTGGCAGGAGGAGGTGGGGTAAGTCAGAGAGTGGGTGGTGAGTGATGGGCAGGGGGGCAGGCTGCAAGGGGGAGGGGCAATCCTGCCCAAGGGTCTCACTAAACTTGTTGGCACCAGAGCAGAGCTGGTACCATGAGGCTGGGCAGTAGGGAGGAGGCAGGGGGGGGCAGCAGAGCCACAGTTCAGTCCTGGATACTGAGGCCTGCCTTCACCAGGGGGCGCATGTGACCAGAGAGGGACAGAGCTGGCCCCGTCCCTGATCTTTAGGCCATGCCTGCTGGGCAGCACAGCCCGGGTAAGTGACTAAGTCGCTTCTGTCCCGGGGCTGGCAAAGTACCAGACTCAGCTCTTCTCGGTAGGTGAGTCACTGCCCTGGCATCTTACCCGGATGCGGCTGAGTCACCAGGCCATGCCCGCCTGGTAGGTGGGCATCATGCGAGGGCTAGGGTGGTGGTTATATGTGTACCCTCAGTGCCTTCTCCGGGCTCTTTCATCTCCTGGCCCTACCCATAAGCCTGCAGAGCCAGGCAGGCATGCTGCTTTCCCCACAGGCTCTGTTGAGGAGGTAAAGGATGAAGTTGCAGGCTTCAGGAT